AAATACTTTTTTCTTTGCGAAACGAACGTTTTCTCCACAAAACTCAGATCGCGCGCGTACAAAATGCACTTTTGTGCGCTCAAAATATGATCTTTCGTGCGCAGAATTGTGGCAGAGATCTAATCCTATATTGGTCCCACCTTCTGTTCAGAGGAAAGTACGCAGAGGTTTTTTTGCGTGGTTCTGCATGCACAGCACTTGGTCACACAACATTTGTACAAACGTCAATTAGTGCTGAATTTGATTTATTCTATTGTATTTTTTGTTTTAAGTATTTTATTTACATCAATATCCATTTTATATTTTTATTTATTATTATTTATATTATTTATATGAAAAATGTTTCTTTGTACTTATGTTTATTTCTTTTATATTATTTTTTAATGTGTGTGTGTGTGTGTGTGTGTGTATTGTATACATATACACATAAAATCACATTTTCTTATAATTAAAATTTAGCAATCTATAATAATTTTACTGTATTTTTACAAATATGTAATTATAAATGTAGTAATTTTCACATCATTACAAAATATAAACGTATAACATTTTTCATATAACAATTACAATTGATCAGTGTAATAATTTGTGTACATTTTTTGCAAATATTATAATATATAATCATTTTAAATGTAATAATTTAATTATTTTCAAATAATTATAAATTATAATTTTTCATATAATAATTAAAATTTATCAGCGTAATAATTTGTGTAATTTTTTTGCAAATATTATATATAATCATTTTAAATGTAATAAAATGTAATTATTTTCAAATAATTATAAAATATATATAACATTTTTCATATAATGATTAAAATTCAGCACACTTAGTTTTAGTGTACTTTTTTAGCAAATACTATATATAATAATATAATTACAAATATAGTAAATATATGTAATACGTTTCACACCATGTTTTGCACTAAATGTAGAGTAAATTATTTTATCATTGTTTATCTAAGCATTTAAAAAAAAAACAATTTTGTACAAAATATTGTCAAATGATA